ATAATAGCTTTGTAGGTTTTAGGCACCGACTCTCCACAGTTAACAATATCTTGAATAAGTTTGTTAAACACCTCTAAATTGTCATCGAGATCTTTTGAAGAATCCAGTTTAAAACTGAAAAAACACTCAAGTACGTAAAACTTGTTTGAAGTAGATTTGAGCAAATACAAATCTTCCAATTTTTTTCAAAGCTCTTTAGTAGTTTTCAGTTTTCTCAAAACTGCGTCAGCTAAGTATAAAATAATTGAGGTATAATCAAGCTCATCAACTTTTTCTTTTGCTCTTTTGGAAAATTAGCAGGAAAGTTGCCATCAATGGCTGTTGAATCCTTTTGTTGAATCAAAATACCTCTCATTTTTTGTTGCCAGATAGAAAACCCACATTTTCCGTTAAAAGTTCCCAAATCAAAATTGTACGCTGTCATTTTTAATTAATCAATCAAAAAAATATAAGGTCACAATTAAGCCACACAAAGTAGACCTACATTCGCAAATGTACACCGTTTTAGATTCTCAGGGTTTCGTAAGATTCACGATCTTAGATTAAAGAAATTTTCAAACGAGTAAGGTCTAGGTATTCTAACAACTTAACAGTGCAACAAGAGGTATGTCAACTAAACAATTTCATTCACGACATATCACAAAAGATAATATGCTACAATTTATGAAATGAACAAATTTCAATCACATAGTATCGAAGAGCAAGTAATTCTTAGTTTCTAAGACAGGCAATAGTTACCTCACACGGTAACCTCAATCCTATTGTTACCCCTACACGATGACGCACTAGTGCTGAAATTTAAACAGGGTTATCCAAATAACCAGAGCGGACCTATCTGAGTCCGTAAATTTCGAGAGATGCGAATTTACTGCTTTAGGGCCGTAATTTTATAGCCTGAAGTAATTAAGTAAATTTATTGCAGTTGCGATCGTCAACCCACTAAGGGCAAAATCATCCAACTTTTTCTGCGTAACCTGAAACACGAAAGCAATAATATCAGTACGTTCAGGAAATTAAAATAAGCAATCTGCCTAAAGAGAGCTCGCCGTCCACGCGTCACCGCACTCGTCGTTGTTGACCACCACTCACTTCACTCCCAGCTGCGCCTCAGTCTGCAGAAGCCTCCTGTGGTGCTGGATTCTTCAACCGGTTATTGGTTTGGCCGGAAATGGAGTTGCAAGTTCGGATCTTTTGAAAAACAACAAGACAACTTATTCTTCTCCATCGATTTTGCACCAGGATTCACTCTAACTCAGCTCCGATACCGAATGTAGAAGAAGGTGCTCAAATCTTCACCAAGTCCGAGCTCAGTATTGACCAATCAATACCACAATCGACAAACCCAATCACAAACCAATACACTCCACACTTGGTTGCTTAAGAAAATTGCCCACCGTAAAAGGACTAAAGATGGAAGATAAAATAGCCACAGGGATCAGCCACCAAGACTGGAGAAAGAAGGAAGAACAATAGCTAATGGCAGTGAGCACGAAGCAAGAAAGCAGAGAGCACAAAGCAAGCCAAAAAAATCGCCCTTTTTCTTCTCAAACAAAAGGCTACTAATTTCACTTAATTTGCAACAGTAACAAGCACACCTATATAAGGTTTGGATGTGAGCTTTTAGGGTTAGGCCCAATAGGAAATAATAAAGGGGCTGTCAACAGATAAAAGAAGACATCCAAGATTTGGGTTGAGCCATGAGCGGCAATAATTTAATTGGGCTGCTTCAAATGGCCCAAGTGGATTACGTGATTGGTTTATCAATTGTGGTGTCGATATACATTCAGTTATTTGGTCAATGCTGATTGAAATAAACAATACTTACATCACCGCTCGAGAGGTCGTTTGATAACAATTTGCCTAACATACGAGTTGATAAACATCATACCAACAATATGGATGATCTCGAGTTCCATCTCCATTATCATAATATAACATGCCAGTTTCATTCATAACGAACATCTTATACCCATAAAACACACTGATATAAAATATATACAAATTAATAAATCTTAATTAGCAAGAATTATCAAAATTAATAAATCTTAATTAGCAAGAATTATCAAAATTTCACACTTTCGCATTTTCAAAGTTGTTTCTTAGTTTGACAAATACAGACAATATAAAATATATACAAATTAATTTAATTGCCTATAACAACTCCAATTTGTCACCTTGTCTAACGAAAAACGATCCATCATTGAGTAATAAATCTCAGTTAGCATGAATTATCAAAATTTCATGCCTCCACATTTTCAAAGTTGTTTCTTAGTTTGACAAACACGAACAATATACAAATTAAATTACCTACAATAAATCCAATTTTTCCACTTTGTCTAACAAGAAAAAGGATCCATGAATTATCCAAATACCAAATTTTACAACATAGTTGTCGGGAATTTACTTAATCATGAACAGC